TATATATTTACTTATTTATTCTTTCATTGTTTAAAATCAAAATTTCAAGAAGTTTCTATTGAGAAATACAAAGTTTTTAATAATACTCCAGTACAAAAATGTAGTCCTTTGGATAAAAGCTTCCTTACTACTACCTCCAAATAAATAAAATTACATCAGACACATTTAAATTATTCAGTATTAAAAAAAAACAAAAACAAAAACAAAAACAAAAACAAAAACAAAACCAGCAATTTTTTAAACCTGAGGGTTGAAGTCAGTGCAGTACAGTTAGTCACATTCCCTTGAGGTGTTAAGTAGACTGGCCTCCTGGTTACTTCAGTGCATAATAATAATAAATACCAGCAACTAATCATCAATACTCTCCTTCAGAAACGTGAGTCAGCATTTGCTTATCTTTAAACATGTTTATTTGCTTGATTTAGATTTAGATATGTTTAGTAATAGGCAGACATGAATATGTTTTTCTGAATACAGTAATTTCCCCCTATTGGTGCTTGTAGCTCCATGCCAAATACATTAATGATGAGACAAATCTTGTAACAATCCTCTCTCAAGACAGCACCAGATGGAAAGCTGGGTACCCTATCACGTCATTTCAAGATTTCCATATGGAAAACTGGGTAAACGTTGTCTCATTCTGTATTTTCAGGTCAACAAACATATAACGAATAGACAGGATTTTAAGACAAAATTATTTCTTATACAATAGTAGAGCATATAAATACTCTGATCAGTATTTCTTTATAAATAATTATTTAAAATACTTAAATATTAATAAATAAATGTATAAAAATTCAATAGAAAGTTTAAAATAAAAAAGTTGTGTCACAACAAGATTTATACAAAAGAACATAAGATGGCATTAGCATTTGCACTGCCTCTGAAACTGGCTTCTTTTTCTTTTGTAAGAACTTGGAGTATCTCCCAGTTTTTGTAAGACGCTGAACAGCTCATTCACAGCTTTACGTTGAATTTTCAAGTCATTCACCTGTTAAAAGTAAAAAACAAATGGAAGTTATGCCAAGAGCTATAATCATTTACTGATCACATCCCATAGGCTACCCTGCTACCAGAGTAAAACCGATGGACATTTGCAGTTTTCAATTACTCTTCTACCTAATTCCTACAGCAAAGAGCCACTTTGTCACAGATTTTTGTTTTTCACCTTCTGTGCTACTTCACAACATGCCACAGACCAGATATATTTTGTGAAACAGAGCTACTCTGTAGTTACAAGCAGCTAACTCCACTAGAGTATTGTCTGCAGAACTCTGCAGAGGTCAGTGGTTTGTGCCATCAGCACTCACTCGATTAGCCAAGTGCTTCCAAAGCCATAGGGCACACCCTAGCTAGGCACAACTTTCCCACCCAGTTCCAAAACCACAAAGGCTCTGTCAGTGTCAGCTCTGGTATGCAGACTGAGTGGAGGTGGTGTCAGCACCTTTGTGCCAAACTCCAGCAAGACTCAGGAGTCTACCCCACACCGTAGACCTGCAGCAGCCCTTGCAGCTGGAAACATTAGGTTTTCCAGTGTGAAGTGAGCTAGACAAGGGTTACCATATGAGTTGCTGGAGCCCTATTGACTTGAATCACACCCAAATCACAACTGGAAAATATAACGTGATGAACCTTGGAGGCAAAGGAAGAGCCTTACCTGAAGCTTTGTCAGGTCCTTGAGATATTCCATCTTCTTTGAGCCATCAGAAAGGCTTTCTTTCAGAGTGTAGAGCTCCTCAGTTATGTTCCTGACATGCGCCTTTGACTTGTCAGTATTTTCAAGGATTTTCAAGTACATGGAAACAATCTGACTCAGGATGATCCTTTTTTCATTTCTCTGTTGAAAAAGAAAGGTCTGTGAGTGCTCATCAGCAGGGAAATGAATGAAGATATAACACAAATCACTGCCACTTAAAACAAGATGATAAAGAAGTTGCAAATCACCTCCTGGGCTTGTCTGTATCTGAGATCATTTCGTGGTGCAGTACAAAGCACCTTGACTCTTATGGGAAGCATTTTTATGGGGATTTTTTTCTCATTTCCGAGTTAACAAATAGAACTCTGCTCATGTTCATTCTACCCCAGCTAACTACACTGGTTCTAGGAGGTGCTTTGTACCAAAAGAACCCTGCGAAGTGCCTGAGATGCTTTTTCATATCTGTTTCTGACTCACCTCTGTCCAGTTTGACAATCTCCCTGTAAAGATTGGTCTGCCATCACCTACATCTGAATGACTTGAGTTCTGCAACAAAGAACAAACATATCTGTCAGACAAACAATACTTATCACGAGGCAAATTTGTGTTCTCTCATCAAATAAGCAGTAAAATCCAGATTTTTGTACCACTGGCCTATAGCTATCACAATGATTTGACTTCTTTAAGCACCAAATCCCATTGCATGGCCGCCTACTATCAGAAATGGCATTAATCTGCTTTTCAATGCTTCTCCTGCTATATCTAAACTGAGATGTTGAACACATCTGTTTTCCCAAATGCTTTTGCTATTGACAGATGAAAATAAAAGCTCATGAACACTGCAACTGACTAGAAAATCATTAGGTCTGAATTTGACATGTCTTCTGGTAAGTCAAAGTCCAGCAGTATGTAGTCATCTGTGGCCTTAAATTCATGCAGTCTTACTAAAATCTCATATGAAACAAGAACAAACTATAGAACTGGAGAACAGCCCAGTAGCCACAGTCAGGCATGAGTATATGCAAGATTAGTGTGCTACTGAGAAGCTCACAGGACGGCATTTAACCATCAGATGTTAGAGACACACGGTATCAGATGCTAGGAAAAAAAGAGCAATACAATTCTCCTACCAAGGAAAGGCAAATTGAATCACTTCCTCTTCTGCGTCTGTTCTTTTTTTTTTTTGTTTTTTGTATACAACAGTGACTATTTCCTTCTTTTGTCTGCTCAGTAATTTAAATACAGTGAGTGCAAAGGGAAAACTTGCAGGCTGACAGAAACCTTCTAGCCTGATTGGCTCCCCATGCTGACCACACTGCCAAACTTTGTTTTGTTCTTCTTCTGAAAGGTGGGGAGCACCTGCTGTGAACCAGAGCTTTAATGTCAGTGCAAAAACCTCACCACGGCTCAAGATGTCTTCAACAGAGTTATATATATTCTAGTGACACTCCCTCTGCTATATGTTAATAACAAATTTAAGATACAATATAAATTTTACAGCAACTTTCTGACCAATTGGCAAAAACTGAAGTATCATACTAGTCTTCACCACTTCAGAGTGGTTTCTTGACTACTGAATTTCAAATGTCATTTGCACAAAATTATGACAAAATCATAGCTGAAAACAGCAGCAGACTGTTGCAGTTGCTTTCATGCATTTAAGGAAAAAAAACAGCAAAAATATATTGAGAATAAAAATTGTTAATTAGAAATGACTCTGTTGTAGATCTGCTATCTCTATGACTAATCCCAGCTGAATTCCACTGTGAACTACTTTATTGCCTCCTAGATGAAGGCTGGTGAATTAACATTACAATTATCAAGTTACAAATTCTACCCGAAAAGAAAGAATATTGTGCCAGATTACATTCCTCTGCCAGATCATAGTCACAGATGTGGAACTGGAATGACTGGAAGATGGAAAAGAATAAGAATAGGAACCACCTTTGGGAAACACACTACTGCATCTAATAATAAGTAACAAAAGTGCATTTGTTAAAGCAAAAGTTCATCTCAATTTTTTTTTTTATTACTAATACTAAACCCCCCAATAACATTGCTAACATAAAATTTAAAAAGTCAGTAAATTACATCTAGTCTGAATTGAATAAATATTCATATATTCTCCACACATTGCATTAAGATTTTCTATTAGAAGATATTCCATGTAATCAAAGGCTGAATTGATCTGGGAGAAGCTCTTGTGAAAGAGAGAGCATCCCTGAAATAAATGCAAATGACTACAGTAACTATGACTATTGGAAAACTAAATCAGATTAGTGAGAGAGTTTAGCAAAGCCAAAGAAATTGTCCATATTCTTGTTAAAAAAAGGTATAACCAAAAAGTTTGTTCCATGATTACCCTCTATTGGTACATACTGAGTATGTCAACAGTGCTCAAGTTTAGATGATATGTAAAGCACAAGCAGCAGCAGAAGAGAAATGCAGTAGAAGACTATACTTACAAAATCAGCTTTCAGTTTGTCTATATCATCTTGAAGTTGAAGCAGATTAAATCTGTTTTCAACACGTCCAAAATAAATCATTATGATAGTCAGAACAAACAAGCTGTAGGTTTGGAAAGGCATTTTCTTGGTGATGGTTCAGTTAAACTGCTCAGATAAGTTCTGGGAGATGTCAGTTCTAAGAGCAGTGCACTTCAACTTCTAATAGTTAAACCTTCTATTAGAAGAGAGTAGACGAATGAACTTCATCTGGTTGTCAGTGGTATTTATACCTGGTCTCAACATTTTTTTATTTCGTCATCACAGGCTGTGTATATTTAGACAAGATAGTGTTAGATAAGAACCCTTCATTTTTGGCTGAACACGGGAATCCCTCGAAAGCATCTTTGTTAAAGCATGGTCCTGGAAAAAATTTTGGTGGTTCGTCAACGGGTAACATTTACGTGGCAGATTCTGAAGTTTCTTTTACACATGGTTGGGGAAAGGGGGGAAATTATGACACTGATTGAGCAGTATGCGTTTTGCCTCAAGCGTATTCGTACACGCTATCTGAAAAAAAAAATCCTATGTTGTGGTTAAAGGGTCAGTATAACAGTCAACTCATTTCTGGTATTCTTTTAAAGTAACCACCGAGATTGCCATGGCATTCTTCAGAGTCACTTAGAGATTTAAACATTCTTCCTACTGCTGTCCTTTTGTGAAACACCATTTTCATTCTTTCCATGGTCTAAAGTGGATTTCTGCTGCTTTCTCATTCTTCACCTTCAGATTCAAAATAAACTCAGGAGAAATGCGGTTCCAACACGAATGAAATTATGCATCATATTAAATTCCTCTATGGTTGTCTAGTCTGGGAGAATATTTAGTACTTAAGACATTCATTTCTGCATGGCAACAATAAAGTTCCCCACATTCCCATTCATTTGCACTAATGTGTGTAGATTGTGAAAGACATGGAAGAAATAAGCCCAGGTGAAGAAGACAGACAGGATAATCCCCAAGTGCATACAGAAGCATGAAACAACTGTATTAATGATAGCTGAGGAAAATGTTTTCATATGGGAACTAAATGCTGCTTTGATGGATGTAATTGGATAAGAGCTTACTCTGAAGAGCCTTATGAACAAATCAGATAATTTTAGGTTGTAGTATATGAATGCAGGGTAGGCAGGAGCCTAAAAGGGAAAGAAAGAAGGAGCTTACAGGGAAAAAGAAAAAAAGTAGATCAGGAAGAGGGCACTTGTGGGCTCAGTTCCCACAGGTGAAGTGAAAGATATCTGTAGCTCATGAGAAACGGATGAGAATTAAACTGATCCCCAGCATATATATTTGAACTCTTCAGCACAGCTCCACATGACTCTTTGGGTATTCTCTGCAAGAAGCTCTCCCCTTCCCCAACAGCTCCTCCTATTTCAGCAAATGACCACTAATGCCATCAAACATTTTCCACCAGCAGCTGGAAAGAGGACTTCCATCTGTGGAAGAGATCTAGGCTACTACTACCATTGCAAACAGGTAAGTGCCATTTTACAGGGACAAGAAGCAAATTTCACCAACAATTACAGGCCCAAAAGCTGAATGCTACATTTCCCTGGGAACGGCAGCATAGACAGATGGGACACATCTCACAACGCGTACAGTGGTACTTCACAATAATTAGTGCTGTAGTCTGCTTGGGATAGTAGCACTGTACAACACTCATCTTGGTTTTAGTTTAAGAAGTTAAAACTGGTTAAGCAACAACTTGATTGCTGTTGACATGAAGGTAAGGCGATAATTCAAGGATGCTTCAAAGATCCGTAAATAAATGCAAAGCTAACATGCCCATCCATGGCAGAGGGGTTGAACTAGATGATCTTCAAAGGTTCCTTCCAACTCAGACCATTTTGATTCTAGCATTCTATGCTAGAAATCAGAATCATAGAATCATTTTCATCTTTGGAAAAGACCCTTAAATCATCGAGTGCCATTGCGAACCTCACACTACTAAGTCCACCACTAAATCAAGTTCCCAAGTACCACATCTACATGTCTTTTAAATGCCTCCAAGGATGGCTATAAAATGGTGGTCCCACCAAGATTCCAAATGGACTTACTATTCAAAGTGAACTCACAAATGTCAGCACACTGAACAAACCTACGGGTAATGTTGAAACATCTGGATTGCTAAGCAAGGCTAGTCAAATGGCATATTACGGTACAGCTACATGTAGTTTCATACATACAGGAAAATAAAGCATATTTTACAAGATGGGGACATGTGCTGAGGTTCAGTGACTGGCCACGAATCTATAGAACAATTCTTTGGCAAAGTGTTGGAAGAGATGCATTAAGAGGCAGAGGAAAACTGATTCTAGTTACGTGTGGCACTCTTTTTACTGTCAGAAACATCCAGCTAGAAGGGAGATGGGGTCATCAAGCCCAATTTTTGCCTAATTTGTGAAAAAGGTCTTAATTTGAGCAGTGCTTTTCTGTGTAAAGAGAACGTGTAAAGAAGAACTGCAAATAGGGAATTTGGAAGAGATTCATTACTCAAACAGCTCAGTCTTCTTAGTGTGTTGAGGACAAAACACAACACAACTGAACACAATTAATTGCTGTAATTACCCATCCAGGCAGAAGATTCCCAGAACTGATATATTAAGTCAGTAATACTGCCCTCTACGGAGAACTATTCACTCAGAGTGACTGTGCTGGATTAGACTGCCCTGCTAAATCTGTCAGACACGCATCTCACCCACAGCTGGCTGTTTCTCCCAGGTGACCCCTACTTGGTCTGACACTGCTACTAAACTTCTAAGAATAACAGGAGGGTGAAGTATCAGAAAGAAATCCTTTTCCAACTCAGCTTTTGTAGTTTGGGGGGGTTATATGGCTAATTTGATCACTAAATGTCACATTTCAGAAGGCCACTGCAATGCATCCAATTTTACAGGTAAGACAATAGAAGCACAGAGCAATTCATGGTCATTCAGCATCTAGGAAAGGCAAATCTAGGAACAAAATAGGGTCTCCCAGTCCCATTGTGGTCATTTGCCTACTATGCAATGCTACGAGTATTATATCATAAACTGAGGCAAGAAATTCTGCAAAGAACAAAGAAAGCCATGACATCAGGCTCTGTCATGCTATTTTCTGTGTGCAGGTCTGACTTCTAGGTACACTCTCCTGCCTGTAGAGACTACATTCAGGCCTTTTACTTATCTTCACATTCAAATTGTCACAAAAAACATTGAATGTTCTGTGATAAATCATCAGACAGATGGACAGAAACATATTTTAATGGAGAAATTTAGGATGCCTTTTCCAAATCCTTTACATTTGAACAGATGGTGTCATGTTAATGTTGACGTAGTTGGCTCATAAGGTTCTCTTCTGTTGACACACAATAGCACATCTCTGCAAATCATTTTGATATTAGGCAACAGCCTAGAGCAGAAGGTCAGAACATAAATCTCATGGGTCCTATGTGTCTTCCAGCCCTGTTTTGTTTCCCATTCTGCCCAAAAGTGATAAACCAGGTCACCATTGGCCCGTGTATGTTTTGTTGCCCAAGAACTGTGAAGAGTCAGGTTGTAAGGAAGGCCCAGGTTTAGACAGCTCCTCTGCTCTGCCTTTCCTGAGAATCAGCAGTGGGGGATGAAAACAACACAGGGGGATCCTGAAAATATCTGTCCTTTATGACACAGAGCCAAAGGCCTAAGAGCATCCAATATTTTATTTGTGCTCCTTAGCAGATATGTACTGAGTGCATGCTGGAGAGGATTGAACACTCAGCACTAACACAAACTCTTTGTCTGAGCACTAGTCCTAATCTAGCTGAAAGAGATGCCTGAATAGTATTGAAAAGTCTTGAGTTGCATAGAGTTGAAGTGGTTCTCATGTGTGACTCCATAGCCACAGCTGGACCATCATCTCTTCCAAACACAATAGGAAATGAAACCCAGGCATTTTTTCATTTTTCTGCCTGGAAGTCATCTGACTCTTCATGCAAAGCAGAGGTTTCACACCCTTCTGTTCATACAACACCTTACACCAAATACCCAATGATGGCTTTGCAAAGTCATGTCAAACTTCCCTATGACCACTGATTACAGCTTTTTCCCTTT